TTCCCTATTGGTATATATAAACATAACACATGTGATTTCAAAAGAGTATATTCTATATACATCATTAATATAAAATATTTCTATTAAAATACCCCATAAAATTTAACTATTTTATCACATTATTTTATATATTAATATGACGTGACTGTAAATTAAATTCTTGCAGAATGTGTATAAAAATATTTTATACAATCAATATATATAAATTAAACTCATTTTAAAATATTAATTTAAAGATTTTCTTTATGCATTAAAAGCAAATATATCTATAACATATATAAATCTATAACACATATAAACTCATTTTTTGGCACACGTTTCACGTGGCAGAAGAGGTGTAGGGGGCAGACTTGTGTCGAGAAGGCTGGATAGAGGACTGTGTGATCAAGAATGGAGGAGGATGTTCCCAGAGGCTTCCATAGAGCATCTGGTTCGTCGACAATCAAATCATAATCCTTTATTTCTACGATGTTATCATCAAGTTGGAAGGAAAGTTGATAGACCATTCAGGTTCCAAGTAGCATGGTGTGTACATCAAGACTATAGCTCTCTTGTTCAAAGAGCTTGGCAGAAAGAGACTGGGAATGTGTATAAAGCTCTTTGTTCAGTTCAAGCTAATTTTATGGTGTTCAATAAGGAAATGTTTGGTAATGTCTTTGGTAAGAAAAAGGGGTTGGAAGCACGCATGCGGGGTATCCAGGTATACTTAGAGAGAGTAGACTCGGTTAGCCTGTTGTTGTTGCAAGAAAAATTATTACAAGAGTATGAAAATATCCTTTTCCAAGAGGAGACTATATGGTTTCAAAAATCCAGGGAGAAGTGGATTCGTCTAGGAATAGAACTACCTCTTTCTTTCATGCTCAAACAATTGTAAGAAGGAAGCGAAATAAAATACATGGTATTTGGAAGTAGGCATATGACTGAGTGAATTGGCAATTCCTTAGACAAACCTTAAGGGTCTTTGGCTTCTCGAAAGTGACTGTTGTTGGGAAGAAACTTTAAAGGCTAGAAGGAAGTGTTTAAGATTGGGAGAGGTTGGAAGATTTTGAGAAAAAGAAAGGCTTGTTGTATTGAATGCTTCTAAACTTTTTGGCTTACTACCAAATGATACAACTATCCCCTATTTATACTAGTGGCACCTCCTTAACCAATGGTTAGGATCTTGCCACCACAACATTCATCTAAGGGCTATAATTCATTCTCTAGAACTTTCTAAAATATTCCTACAATTCTAAACGTTTTTAAACTTATCTAGAAACATCTTATGGATAAACATCTATAGATATTTTGTACATCATTCTAGAATCTTTTAGATAGGATTTTTCTATAATTCTATTTGGGTCTTTGCTAATATTGGGCTTTTATCATTTAAGCCCAACATACAAAATCAATTTATATTCCAACAC